CAGTAGGCCTTGGCGTGCTTGATGGCGTGCGCCGAGAGGTGGATCTGCAGCGACGCCGAGTCCGTGTACGCCCGGTAGCAGTTGGGGCACTTGTAGGGTTTGTCCTTGTTGTGCTGGCGCTGGTGAGACTGTGGGCGGTGGCCACCAGGGGGGTTATGGTGGCCACCCTGTGCCCTCCCCCAACCCGACCCAACTCCAAGAGGGGTTTTGGGGTCCTCCCCGCCACCCCCTGGGCACTGACCTGGAGGTTGGAGAGTTGGGTGAAGGCCTTTTCGCAGCCGGGGTGCGGGCACTTGTAGGGTCTGTCACCAGTGTGGATTCTGGGAGGACAGGGACGCGTCAGGGCCCGTCCCCTCAGCACCCCCTGTGGCACCTGCGCTGCTCCCACCCTCCATGGGGATGGGGACAGCCATGGGGTGAAGTGGGTCATGGGGGAAAGAGAAGGGAGATGTGGGGTGGAGAACCAGGGCTGAAGGTGATGAAGGTGGTGGAGACGATGAGTGTGGTGGGACAATGAAAGTCATGGGGATGATGAGCATGGTGGGCTTGATAAAGGCAGTGGGGACAGGTTGGCATGGTGGGTTCCAGGAAGGTCATGGAGATGATGGGCATGGTGGGGTCAATGAAGGTGGTGGAGATGACGAGCGTGGTGGGCATGATGAAGGTGGTGGGGATGATGAGCGGTAGGGTCAGTGGAGGTGCTGGAGATGACAAGCATAGTGGGCATGATAAAGGCAGTGGGGATAGACGAGCATAGTGGGGACAGGTAAGTATGGCAGGTTCGATGAAGGTCGTGGGGATGATGAGCATGGTGGAGGTCAATGAAGTTGGTGGAGACCACGAGCACAGTGGGGGTGATGAGTGTGGTGGGCATGATGAAGGTGATGGAGATGATCACTGCGGTGGGGCCAATGAAGGTGGAGATGATGGGCATGGTCGGGATGATGAAGGCAGAGGGAAAAATAAGCGTGGCAGGCACAAAGAAGGTGGTGGGGCCAATGAGTATATTGGAGATAGATGAGCGTAGTGGGGACAATAAAGATGGCAGAGATGATCGGACTACGGTTGGACTCAATGATCTTAAAGTCTTTTCCAATGTGAATGATTCTACAATTCTATCACTGTATGATGAGCATGGTGGGGGTCAATGAAGGTGGTGGAGATGATGAGCGTGGTGGGGATGATGAAGGCAGTGGGGATGATAAACATGGTGGGGATGACAAAGGTAGTAGGGCCAGTGAGTATGGTGGAGATGGATGTGTGTGGTGGGGACAATGAAGGTGCTGGAGATGATGAGCGTGGTGGGAATGAAGGCAGTGGGGATGGACTGGCACGGTGGGGACAGACAAGCATGATGGGGACGATGAAGGCAGTGGGGACGATGAGCATGGTGGGGTCAATGAAGGTGGTGGAGATCATGAGCATGGTGGGGACGATGGGCATGGTAGAGATGGATGAGCATGGCAGAGATGAAGAAGGTGGTGGGAACAACGAGCATGGCACAAGAAGCTGGGCAGACACCCCGCCACCCCTTCGGGGAAGCTGGGGCTGAAGGCCCCCCCCAGCCCTGCGGGGCCGCCGTGCCCTCACCTGGTGTGCTGCTGGAGGTGGGACAGCTGGCGGAAGGACTTCTCGCAGTAGGAGCAGTGGTAGGGTTTGACGCCCAGGTGGATGCGCAGGTGTTGGGCCAGGTAGGAGGCATTGGCGAAGGATTTGGAGCAATGGGGGCACTTGTGGGGCTTGGCCTCTGTGTGCGACTTGGAGTGGATCTGCATCTCCGACTTGGTGAAGAACGTCAAGGGGCAGACCTTACACCTGGAGAGGGGTGGGGGGGACAACCCCGCAGAGACCAGGCTGGGGCGGGGGGGGCCCCCCGCCGTCACCCCGCCCCCCCAAACAAGGGTGGGTGGGTGCCTACCTGTAGGTCTTGCCCTCTTTGGCCGTCTCCCCCGAGGCCAGGATGGGGTAGGGCACCACCAGGACTGGGGGTCCCGAGGGATTTTCCGCTTTGATCTTCTTGCGGCCCCGTTCAGCTTTGGGCGCCCCCAGCAAACCGTGGCCTTGGATTGTCTTGATGGAGTCGAGGAGGGGGGGGCTGGTGATTCCTGAGATTAGGGT